TAGATTTCTAGCAATAATCCTTCCTCCTGGTTTTCCTCTGAGGACAAAGCTGAAGTATCATTGACTCAAGGCGACGGCACTGCAGTATTAGACATGATGTCTTGTTTGGAGCTTTCCCCACCCTTCTTTTGTCTGTGAATATGAATTGTAAATACGCTTCAAATGTACGATATATAAATATATATATGCTTTTGTAGGTCACATACTGTTTTTGCACAGATTGTAAGGCTTGATATTTAAAAGTGTAATTTTCTTAATCTGTCATAGGTCAGCTTTTATTTTCCGTACGTTAACCATCGGTTGGAAGAGGAAGGGCCTTCTTGTTTTGTAAGCAGTCCGTGTAGATTTTCTTTCATACTGCCACTTTCTTTCTCTCGGAGAGCAGCCTTTGTTTTCTGGATACAGTCTTAGCTAAAGAGGTGCTAGTGTGTAATTTTTTTCTAAATAAATTATTTTTCTTTTGACTAAAAAAACAACAAAAAAACACAAAATATGCCTATATGAAAAGAGTTGACACATGATTGTGTTAGGCTTCTAGAGGCCCGGATGTCTTACCAGTATGTGAGGCTGATGGTTCCTGAACCGAACCTCATGCTTCCATGTGTGACTTAAAGTTTCACTCCTGAGATTTTATGTGCTTTGAATTTTGCAGATATGATCGTTCGGCCTCAGACTTTGGAAACCAGTCCCGCCGTGTAACTGTCCTTAAGTCCTTTTGGTTCATTCGCAGATGTTAAACCCAGATGGAAGCAACACATGAGGAAGTATGAATCCCTGATTACCCGTCAATCTCTTCTCCATTTAGGTTTGCCTTTATTTTCGTTGTATTTCCTGTCGTGGAGAAATCTACCTTTGAAAACACGCTCAATCCAAAGATTTTTGTTTGTCATTCTGCAGTGCGTAGAAACAGTTCCTGACGTAGATCGTGCAAGTACTCATGTGTGCTTTTACCGTCGCACATAACCTATAATATACATTGAACTAAATATGTTTAATTGCATATATTATATCCCCATCCGTATGACATAGAGTAGAGATGAGTCTGGTTCTGCTGAGGTGGTTTGAGTTTTTGTTTGTGATTGTTTCTTCCTTTCTGTAGAACTTATGGCCAGTTGAATTGTGGTGCTGCAAACAGTTATTTTACAAGAGAATGTCGAGGTTTTCTAAGCCAGAAAGGAGGTTTCATGATTGATGTCATTATGTCTCAGCTTGGAGTTTTTTTTTTTTGTTGTTGTTTTTTTAAACCCCAGTCTCAATGAAGAATATGAATCTACAAATATAAACAAAAAATGTCTGTGTTTTGCTTTAAAGGAAAGAAACTCCTCTCAGTGCATCGTTGGCACTAGAGAAAAGAGAAAACACATCTGGGAAACATACCGTCATTATTACAGGATGTAAAATACTATTGCATTTTTTTTCTTACCTTGTTTCTTGATGTTAATATCGATGTAAATACAAATTTATATTTAAACATTACAATGTCTCTGGTGTCTTTCTGCACATGCAAACATTTTGTACATGTCAGCATGCAGCAAACAAGTACAGTAAGTGTGTTTTACTACAGTAACAGGACCTTGCAAGTTATAAGTCGAGGTTCCCCTCATCATTTATGATGACTGGAGTCTGCCAGTCTGCATGGTGGGAGGTGAGTGAGTGTTTGTGTGGATGGGAGGCATAGACATGAGGAGGGAGTTTAGAGTGTGAAGGACGCCTGTGTGGCAAATCCTCAGAAGTGAGATGAAAAAGACGAGAGATTCCTCTCAGACTGGCTGTTGTCAGTGACATTGAGATTCGTGCCGCCGTCTGCAGCCTCGCTTTTATCTGCTGTTTGTTTCCTGCAACTGGTCACCTCCCTAGACCTTGAGCTTTTGTCATCAATCATCCCACTTTCCTCCGCTTCTCTTAATGATTTTGCACCCCACAGAAACATCTCACACCTCCAGGCTGTCCCAGCCCTGCTGCTGCTGTCACTGTAACCAAAACCTACAGAAGTCTGTCAGCCTGATCAGAGCTTTAAATAACTAACTTTTCCTTTTGAGACTTGAGTGTCATTTGTATTACAATTACAGAGTCTGTCAGATCAAGATTGGCTGCCAGGTTACTGCTGCCTGACTCACTCAACCCTTTGTAGCTGGAGAAATGGTTTGACATTCAGAGGCAATTTTTGTTTCACCTGAGTTTTAATGCTGTGATGATTTTATGTCTTTTAATGTGGAAATAAAATTGTAGTGTCTCATTTTTTGATGTTATAACTATTCATTCTTTTTAGCCTTGCCTGAAGCAACAGCTACTGGATAGACTGCCATGGAATTTTTGCACAGATTTCTACTGATTGTGGTAATCCCCCATCGTTTCCTCTGGCACCACTAGCAGGAGCACATATGTGTCTTTTGAGTGACATTACTCAGCTACTGAATGCATTGTCATGTAATTTGGTCCATACATTCATGCTCCCCTCAGGATGACTTGAAATAAAAAGGCTCAGATTTTAGTCTCTTTAGTTTTGCAGGCATTTGGCCATGAAGCGCATTCACGCGGTGTCGAAATAATCGGAAAAATGAGTTCCAGACTGAGAAGTCAAGTCGGTACAACAAGGAAAGTCAGCGAAAATTTTGGTATATGACGCAGAAGCATGGCAGACAAAAGTAAATGTTTGGTTGTTGGTAAGAAACCTCTAAGTAATTAACGTATAGTATGTCGGTTTCTACTCGCGTAATTTGTAATGTGGTATCAAATTAGCTCAGTTGTAACCGTTAGTTGCTGTCCACAGTAATTTAGAGTGTCGGAGATTAACGTTAGCTTGAGAGTTAGCCTGTTTATTAGCGTTGACGCTGATAACGAGTAAAGTAAATATATATTTAAGTTGGTTTAAGGAATGCATGAAGATATATGAATTGCCACGCTAATCCTGGAAACAAAGCTATGAACGTGGAGGTAAAACGGTCTGTGTTTTCACATTACTACTTAAGTTCATGGACACACCGAAGCGCACGTGAATGCAATGACACGCCCATTAGCCTCTGCTGTATACACGCTAAAGTTAGCGGCTAACATGGTTAAATGCTAATGTTAGCATTAGTTCAGTGCAGCCCTGCAGCTCTTGTTTGTAGTAGTAGTAGGGTAAAACCTCCTTAATTCCTGTCCTTATCAATGTAAGTCTACACAAATACATAAATTGAATGGCTATTTGATTTATTTTTGAGATGATGACGGATTTGTTGGGAGAGTCAATTTATTAATTTTAAAGAAAACCCTCTCATTTAAAGTCAGATACAGTCAGACACTTTGGGGCAAAACTCCCCCTGGGACATCTTGCCTCCAAATATTATTTAGTTAGATAGCTAGTGTATAGTCATATGTGACTTTCTGTAGTTCATTATTACATATAATAATAGCATTGTAGTTACAACAGCTTGCTAGCGTCATTACCTAGCTAGCCCGCGATCATTAGCATTACTAGCTAGCTAGAATTAGCTAACATATTTAGCAAGCTTGCTGGAGGAAGACATCCTGAAATGAAAAATAGTTAGCCTGAAGGAAAGGCTGAAAGGCTTCAATATAATACATTAGAGGGTCAGAATTAGGATTTTATTATTATTATTATTAAGTTACATAGCTAGTTTTGAGCTCAGGGGCTCAAGTGCTACTCTACCAATATAATTCTCTTAACAGTGAGTTGATATATGTATCATCATCCTGCACATGCTAAAATAATATCCACATATATTTTTTTTAATTTTACAGTAAATTGACTTTGTTCTTGAGGGGTGGCGCCTTACCCCATCTTACCCCACATCCCATACAGTAACACCAAGGTTGCCAGGTGCTGCCAACAGTGACATTTTACATGATGCTAACGTTAGCTCACTGTCTTCTCTAGTCTGGACTGATGTATTTCTTTGTCTGCTCCCAATAGACCTTGACACTTCTTATAAAATAGTAGCACATAGGGCAGAAATAAAAAACAACATTTTTTTTATGAATAGGTAACATTCTTAATGTTTTGTTTGAGGCTGTATCATGTAAGACTCTTGAAAAAAGAGTCGACCATATGCCCTGATTACCCTGTCAGGTCAAACTTGGAGGTTTCAGTTTTAGGGAGTAGAGAACTACGTGTATTTAAACGGAATTAAACTAGTGGATTAACTACATTTTGCAGCATCCTGTTGGTAGTTCAGCTATATTCACACGTTCATAGTGATTCTATTAGTTGAATTACTTTAATCTTCTTTGTTGTGTAGGTAGTCACAGAAACTACAACCAATTTGGGACCATTTAAGTAAAGGACTTCTTCTCTACTGTAATTAAACCCTTTTCAATCATTGTTATTTAAATGTCAAGAGAAGTTGTTGCATACTATTTTAGAAGTTACCTGGCTAACTCTGCTTGGTGCAATCTCCCGTCTGGACTGTAGTTTCTGGAAGGCAGGTGTCTGAGTGATGGACATTTTATACAAAACCAAAGCTGAAATTCATTCATGTACTTTCCCATCAACAGTGGGGTATTTTATTTATTTGGTTTATGACCTGTGAACAAGAGGGCACGTTTTGCAATAAACTCAGTTAAGTGGCATTTTATGCTGAAATGTGATTTTTCGTATCACATGTAGGCTTCCCCAACACTGGAGGTTTTACTGTTCTACAAAATCATAAATTAACCATGGTGTCTAATTTTAACTGTTATCTTGGCTCAAATTGAGTCCTGGAATTTTAAGACATGTCAGTTTCTCTTTCTGTTAGCTGCAGCTGTCAGTCAGTAGGCTTATATATATATAATATATATATTTAGCAGTGGCATTTGGTGCAGGCTCATTAGTATATGAAATTATTCAACAGTTTCAGCTGCCGTGTGGGGGTTTCCTGTGTGTGTGTGTGTGTGTGTGTGTGTGTGAGTGTGTGTGTGAGTGTGTGTGTGTGTGCGCGCGCAGGGTGGAGCAGGAGGCGGGATGCGCCAATAAAAAAGACGCACCGCTCCTCTATTGGACCAGACGCGGAGTGGGCGCACACAAGACGCGCCTACCGAGGCTTCAAGTCCTCGTTTTTTTTCTTCTTCTCCGAGACAGGAGACATGAGGTTCCGAGACACCTGTCAGGAGGACTACACATCCACAAGCTGTGTGTGATGCAACTGGAGGCTGTGTGTTTAACCATGGACGCGCTGTCATCGTTATCATAGCCTCTCGGTGACCAAGGAGCGTAAAGTTATTCTGCTGCTTTCTTGCTTTGCTTTGTGTTATTCCTCTTTTTTTAGCCCTCTCTCAAGCCGCATGAGTTCACCGCTGTTTTTAGGTCAGCTGGTCGGGGTCCCGTTAGAAATAATGCACCCCACCATGGAGAAAGACACGACTTACACCAAGATCTTTGTCGGCGGGTTGCCGTATCACACCAACGACGCTTCACTTCGGAAATATTTCGAGACTTTCGGAGACATCGACGAGGCGGTGGTTATCACAGACAAGCAGACGGGCAAGTCCAGAGGATACGGCTTTGTGAGTTCATTTAAGTAGTTGTTTTCTTGGTAGAATAAATGAGGAGTTAAACACATGCATGTGGAGTGAAATATGGGCTTTAATTAAGGTTTTATCAGCCGCTCTGACTTTAATTGGGCAGTCAGGGAGGCTGGAGACACAGTAGATCATGTCTGTGGCAGCCAGTAATGAGTTAGAAGTGACTTTATCTTTTGTGGTTAATTGTATTTTCTTTTATTATTGCCTCAGAGGCTGCACATACTGCCACTGTGTTCCAGCAAGCTGCAGACATGTGCAGTGTGTCTGGTGGTGGCAGTCACATGCTTGAAGCATGAGTAGCAGATTATTTCTTACAAGTGTGTCATCAATTATCTCTGCGGTCCCAAAGTGAGCAACAAATGAGCTCACAGACAGACACACAGTAGAAGTGTACAGTGTGAGGAGAACCTGTGCAGAGAGGAGACACACAGACACACAAGTTGAGTTAAGCTGTGGACAGATGTCTTTCTGCTGTGTGTTTGTGTGCGACAGAGAGAGATGGGGGAGAGGGGAGGGGGGTCCTTGGTCACAGAGGTGTGACATGTCAGTTGGCTCTGCAAGATAAGGCTGCAGTAGTTTCATTTTGACTTCCTCCCGTGCAGCCCTTCCCCCCCCCCCCTCCTCCAGGATGTGTTTGGTTGTTTCTGTAAGTGACTGAGTTTGTGTGTGAAAGAGAAAGAGATGAGATGTGAAATCAAAGATAAGCCTCTGCATCAGCTGAGGTGACCAGTGCCGTGTTGACTTCTGTAAGGACAGCAATGCTCATTTCATCCCTGATTTCCTTTCAGCACTCTTAATTCCCTGCAGCAGCTTCTTGAACCCCCGGTGATCTCAAACCATCCACCGGCTCTGTTTGCATAAGAGTCCAGAGTCTGACGCTGCGAAACGAAAGAAAGCGGGGGCAGTTTTACTTTCACTGTCCCATTTATTGGCACTGGAGCTGTAGTTTACCTCACATATTAAGTGTAACTGCACTGTGTGTGTCTTAACCTTCAGCACCCCCTTCCCACTGCTATCTGCCCACTCCTCAACTCACTCCCTCAAGGTAGATTCCTGTATCTCATCCTTGGCAGCCCAGTCTGAAATAACAGATCTGCCTCCCACATAAGCTCCACTGGAAGCATTAAAACACACTGATGGATGTCTTCATGTGGTGGAGTCAGTGTCTCCTCATGCATTTAGCAAAAAGATTGAATCATTCGAGGAGAGACAAGGACAGCAGCTACCTCAGGGCCAGCCCCCTCCTCTCTCTGCCCGCTCTGGGTCTGCTGCTTCATCATGTTGGAATCACTCCTTCAACACTGGGTAGAGAAGCTTTCACATGCAATCATGCAGCTGTAAAGAGTGATTATTATTTGTCAGTAATGCTTTGACTCTGTCAACAGGTGACCATGATGGACAGGGGAGCAGCAGAGCGGGCATGCAAAGATGCAAACCCCATCATCGACGGCAGGAAGGCCAATGTGAACCTGGCGTACCTGGGAGCGAAGCCTCGCAGCTCGCAGTCAAGTAAGTGTGTTAGATCGCTGCTGAACAAACAGGATGTACAGGGTCGTATCAGTAGGGCTTTTTTTGCCGTGTTGTAACCAAGCAGCGACCTCCAGGGCTGAAAAATGAATCCAACATGAAGTGCCAAAAACTGCAGTTCCTCTAATGGCCACTTGAGGCTGGCTTTAAAAGCAAGTCAATCCACATAGACCTTCATGTTAAAATGCCCAACTCTACATAGAAATAAACATGTTTACAGCCTGGGACAAAAACAGTTTTGCTGACAACTGAATGGGAGGTTAATTTTTAAATAACTCACCCGTTTACATTTTAGTTAGGCTGAAAGTTACACATATTTGCATATTGCAATACATAATGACAGTCGCACAGTCTGTAGCCCCCTTTACTCAGACTGCTTAAGGTGAGAATGTTGCACCACTATTCCGCCTCGACATTCTGTATGAAAGGTAAAATTGTGGAATGGGGGGACAGAGTTGTTTGACCGTTAAGCCAGCATAGGTAGTAACAGCACCATATCGATATCTGTGGTTAAGGGATAGCTAGTAGGACGGACAAAAATGTCCACAAACTGGGGATCCCGGAGCTCCAAGTAGAGGAGGGATAAGCTGCCATATAACAGGGATGGCAAATGATTGTTACTGCCATGTTATGCTATTGTTATGGTTTAGAAAGTGCTCCCGATGCCTATGTTATATGTCACACTACAGGCTGATGCCGTTGTGTTACATGTTATGCACATCACGCCTCTTTTGCTTCCAGAATGCCAGCACGCCATGTGAAATCACACACTGGGGAGGCATGATGCCGCCACTGTTTGATTCTGTATAAAAAAGGCAAAGCCGGTGTAATGAAGGGTCTTTGTCGTGGCAGTGTTGTGGGATTTCTGGGTAAAAAGGGCTTTTGAGTCAGATCCACCGTTCGCTCCTTCCCCGCTCCACCTTCTTGTCCAAATGTAGTCACTTCTGGCTCAAAAATTCAAGATGGTGATGGCCAAAATGCCAGACTAGAGGCTTCAGAATGGGATTCCACAAAGTAACGTCATGGTAGCCACATTTATTATCTTTATACAGTCTATTATTTTACCAAAAAAAAAAACCCCTACAAACCATGTAATGGATAAAGCTGGTAAGAGATCACAGCCAGCAATGTGTTGGTACTTCTCTGAATACTTTCTCACTACTGTACTCTCTGTGGCACTCAGTCCTAAGCCCAAATGATTCCTACTGAAGAAATCTTTAAAAACAGGTCACACATATGTAGTTTCACTTCTAGAAAAGGCTGAGAACTGCAGTTTTGTAAATTGATGTCCTAACTTCCAGGTAGTCTATGGCTTGCAGGGAGTTGAAGTTCTTACTCAAGAACTGCAGTCAACTGCAGTAAACATTAGGGCTGTCCAGAAACCATGGGGCTTCGAAGCTTCAGTGATAATTATCTGCAAATATTTGAGGCTTCAACTGGACATGACAGGAGCAGGGAGTGGGGGTTGGGGTAATAGTAAGCAATCGTATTTATTTAGGCTAATCAACCACCTAAACCCAACCTAGCTTTGGTCACACTTAGCTCTGCTGTGTGTGTGTGAGACAGAGAGGGTCAAGAGAAAGTGAAGAGAAGGTAGACCATTGCATGAAATGTTTCTTTAAGTTAATAACTCGAACGCTGTGGGTCGGGCCTCATCACTAGGTGCAAAGCAAGCACTTCTCTGCAGTTGCCAACCACACATATCCATCCACAATTCATTACATCTGTTCCTTTTCCTCATCAAACAGCCAACAGAATATCTTGAAGCGGGGGTCTGTGACTGCGCTGAGGATACTGACCTCATCCATGTCTGACACTTGCCGCCCCCTTTCAGCTTCCTCCACCAGCTAACTGATGAAAAAACAACAACAAAGCATTCGAATACTGATTTAGACGTCAGTTACCGTGGCAACGATTGAGGTTTCTGTGCTTCGAAACATTCAAGTCACCCCAGTAAACATGAAGGTTTCTGTATTTTTAGGTCACAGATACTGTTTGCTCCTGTCTAATGGGAAAGCTTTTGCATTCACAAACTACTGCATGTTCTGGGGAGATTAAACCTGGAAGGACAACCTGGAACATCTGGATGTTTTTGGATGAATTAAGTAGTTTCCTGCATGAAAAGGTTTGGTGTTCAGAAGCTGGCTGTCACATCTCAAATATCACAGCATCCCACACCTGCAGCAAAGGAAATGACATCCAAATATTCCTTGCTTGCGACGACATTACCAAATGATGATAGCCTAACTTTGATGAAAGAATACAAGCGGTTAAATGGTCACAGTTGACAAATCTCGCCAAGTTTCAAGTCTCTACATGTTGGTTTCCGGGCTGCACTGAAATGAATGGAAACCCACAGCTGCATTGGAGAGCGGAAATCGATTTAAAAACCAGTACAAATGTGTACAAATGTTGAGGTTAGCGGGATAAAACATGCAAAACAACCTGTATCCTCCTTTTATCCAGCTGTCTCTGCTCATTCCCACCATACATTCACTCTTTGTGTACTTGATTTAACGCACAGCTTTCATGCCGCCGGGCTTTTTCAGTGTTAACCACCAGCACACACGCTCCGCGCTTCCCCTCCAACATCTCGCTGCACACCAGACCTTGACAGCAGCACTTCCCTCGCTGCTTCATTTAAAGCTCGCTGGCTGAAATACCGTCGAGTGTAGGTGTGATTGACAAACAGCAGCACCAACAACAACTGACTGTGTGTCCTTATTCCGGGGCCGCCGCTCGCGACGCAATTCCCCAAGCATGCAGCTGATGGGAGATGGCAGTGCTTGGTATTTTGTTGTTTTGTGTGAGAGAGAGAGAATAGGAGAGGGAGAGAATAAGAAGAGCAGGAGGGGATGGGACTGTTAAGAGCAAGAAATAACAACGTGTCTGTGTCCTCTTTGTGCTACTGAAGAAAGAAAGTGTGCATTTAGATATAGGTTTTAACAAAAAAAGGGTGCTGATGGAGTCATGGCTGTGCTGTGAAAGGAGGAAGAACAGAATAGCTGCAGGAATGTTGACATGAAGTCAGAGGAGGGGCAGAGAGGAGGAGGAGAGGTTTCTCCTTTCTTACTCAGCCTCAGCTGATTCCTCGTGAACTCTGGAGGCAGAGAGGTCACAGATGTTTGTGTTCAATAGAGTGCATTATTATTTGTGTGAGTGTGTCGAACATGTGTGTACGCTGAGGGAATAACAGATACCCCTGTATACATGCAAACATCTGAGACAAACAAGCAGAGGCAGAGAGGCAGAGAAGCGGCTCTGTCCTTGTCTGCCCGTCTTTCTCGTTGTCTGTGCAGCCGGTAGCGAAAATATCCCTCCTCTCTTTCTCTTTGTCTGCAGGTCTCTCTGTTGGAGTTCAGCAAGTCCATCCTACGTGGGCTCAGAGGCAATATGGGTAAGACGGAGAAGAATCAATACCTCTATTTCCACCTCTCTCTCTCTCTCACCTGCCTCCTCCTCCTCAACACAATACATCTCACTCCTCCGTCCTTGACATTTGTGAGCGCTCGCTCCTGTTCTCCACTCAGGTTGTGGTAGTTAATGCCACTCTGTAATGTGAAAGAAAGGAAGGGAAAAAAGCCATCACATCCAGCACAAATGATGCTTCAAAGATGTGTTGAGCCCCTGCGCCCCTATCTGTATCTCTACATCGTATTTGGATTTGTCTTCTGTTGTCTCTCTCTCTCTTTCTGGGCCATTAAACACGCGAGAAGCTCAATTCTGAATTTCTCTCTCGCATGACTTGGGCTTTACTGAGGCAACAAGCCATTTAGTCAAACTTCCCCGCATCCCTTCTCTCTTTCCTCTCCATACAGACACACACGCACAACTGCCATTATCTTCTCTCTTTTCCCCTCATGTTTGTGCGTGCAGAGACATGCTCTTCATATCTATTTAATATCTGCGGGTGTACTGGACCAGTGGTTCCCAACCTAGGGATCAGCAATCCCACAAGAGGTCACGAGCTGAATTCATAGTCCTGCGTTAAGGGGTTACAGATGTAGGCCTAATAAATGTTACTATACGCCAGGGCTACAGTGGCCACTGAGGTACAGTACCACACGGAGACGACGAGAACTGTGATTGGCCAGCTTTTGTTTTCTCCATGGATTATGCTAATTGTAAAGAAAACATTAAGGAGGTTGAAGGAAGACTCTAACATTGTCTTCTCCTTTCCAATAACACACAGTTGGCAAAGACAGACACACTGCAAACCTTCTTCTTAAAGGGAACCTGTTGTGCTTTTCCTTATTTTCTGTCATATGTATAAGGTTACAGTGTTGGATCCTCATATAAAACGTGGTCAGTTATGTAAATGTATGTATAAATAATCCCTTTGAGCAAAAACCTCAGGCCTCAAACAGCTCTGAATACTCTGTTTCAACAGGTTTTTCTACTTTGGCTACAAGCTGATGTCAGCTGGACAGATTTCTCTATCTGCTCCATGCACGTTACTGCAAGTGTTTACGTTACATACACTGCTACATATAGTGACATGCTAATGTCAGGGAAACAAGTCATCTGGTTGCTGGTGTTGTTAATTTCTCCCAGACCTCGTATCGTATTCCTTCTGGAACATGTGCGATTGTGCTGAGAAGCTTTTATTGGTGATTTTTCATGGTAGAAAGTGCCGCTATACTCTGTTACAATCATTCTCCGGCTGAAGGAACACTGCTACATGTAGCTACATGCTAATGTCAGGAAAACATGTCATCTTAGTTGATGATGTTGTTAAGTTCTCCCATATTTCATATCATATTCGTCCTGGAACATGTCCAGTTGTGTTTAGAAGCTTTTATTGGCGTTTTTCATGGTAGAAAGTTAATTAAAGTTAATTAAACCATTAAACTCCCCAGCTACAATGATGGTGCTGAGAGAACGCAGATACAAAAGACCTGTAAATGCTGACCAATCAAAGCAGACTTGGCTTTTTTGAGAGAGGGGTTTAAAGAGACAAAATGGAGTGTTTGAGACAGAAGGTGAATGCAGGTGTTCCAGCACAGACAATATGAGAAAAAATAATGTTTTTTGTCCATTAATGCATGTAAACATGCTCTAATAGAAACCCAAAATACAAGTATGAACCTGAAAATGAGCATAGTACATGATGCATGTGTCTGTAGCATTACAGTGGTACAATTAAGAGGTCAAATCCATCTGGCAGGACTTAAATTAACAGCTTGCATCAAACAAGGGGACACAAGATGAGCAGGATAACTGAATAAAATATTTCTGTAACAGAATTATTTATATTGGTTTAATCTCCAGCTGTTTTTTGTGAAATACTGTATAGTTTTATCCTTTTAGACTTCTAAAGATGGTTTAAATCAAACAGAGAAGAGAAAATCGGTCATCATCGACAACCTGTGATGAGGGCTCATAGACCTGTATGACATTGTGTTAAGGACTCAGAAGCAAAAATGGTCGGGCATCAGTGTATTCCACTGTAGGCAATATTGAAAATCACTGATCACGGCTGCTTTATGGCCATATTGGATTTTTATCTAAGTTTTGCAGCAATGTAATCAGAGCTGCAACAATTAGTCAGCCAATCAGCAACCGTTTTTCAAGCAGAAACATCAAACACACTATTGTCATATATGTTAGTAAAATGACTCTTTGAGTTTCAGCCTTTTGGTAAGATAATAGAAGCAATCTGAATACATCTCCTTGGGCTGTGGGGAATTATAACAGGCAACACTCAATAAACAAAACAATTAACTGAGAAAATAATCAGCAGATTAATCGGTGATGAAAATAATTATCTGTTGCAGCTGTTATTGTAATAAGGTAGCTTCACTTGTCAGGTGTTTAGTTTACTGGATAGTCAAAAACAGACTCTCCTGTCGGGTTGTTTAATCCAAAACCGTTCATTTGTCGATTTCCAGAAAATTTCCAGTATCTCAAAGTCTATCAGTGTCGCAGTATAAAATTACACCCACCCTAATGAAGGATTGTTCCTCCTAATGTTCTGGAAAGCTGAACAGTGTCATCATGGGAGCCGCCAGTGGTTTTTCAGAAACTTGACCAGCCCGGAAACTCGCTGTAATCCACATGTGACGGGCGTTCGGCCTCCTCATCCAGTTTCTCGATGTCAATGTGAACTCAAAAGGAAACCTTAATGACTCAGTTCCTGAGTGAAGCATCATGCAGGGATGATTAATACCCAGGGCTGTTACAGACAGCAGAGTGACGCTGCAGGTTGAACACCTACAACACCTACTGAGACTTGACTCAGATATTTGGTGTATGAGTGTTGTTTAGGTGATCTTAGACGAGGATACTGTCAACCAGTGTCGCAGCTGTTCTGTACGTGTGGGCGTGTTGTTGACTTTAACAATGAAATATCTGCTCTTTGGAGAAAAGATTGCAAAACATGTTTTGGTCTTTGGTTGATGAAGTTTTACAGACTGGATCTTCTATATTTTAGAGGTGTTTTTTTTTTTTTTTTTTTAAATAATATGCATGATGTGGTGTCTTCACGCCGACTTTCTGGAGGATGACAAGTTTTGATCCTGCGGCTACAGAGAGTCCATTAAAAACCTCAACTGTTCTGAGTGCTATTAATATTGCAGTCCTCAATTTCTGAATGAGTGATGAGGGAATTGAAGCTGACCCAGATGAGTCTATGAATGAGTGATGATGGGTTGATTGAAAGCCTCCCACAGTGAAATCGGACGTTTTAAAGCAGAGGGAGTTTTAATCTCTGCTTCCAGGAAGAGTCGCAGAGCTTTGACACCTCACAAACCGAAACAAAAGAAGTAGACACATCACCTGGCACATTAACTAACTAACACGCCCAGAAGGCAAACACACAGAGAAGGCACTTTGTTTATCAGCTTAGAAACACCTGCAACTCCAAGCATTAAAGGGACAGTGTGTAAATGCATGGGTTCTTGACCTTTATGTCACATTTGTTTGGAGGATTATTCTCCTTTTTTGTGTCTGTGTACAATCTGTTGATTCAGGTCCCATTTATACGACAACAATTTCAACTGAAAACAGTAAACTTTAGTTGCGTTTTAGCCGGTCGTTTACAGGACAGCGGTGTTTTGGGTGCCTGAAAATGCAACGTTTTGAAAACGGGTTCCAGAGTGCAACTTATTGGAAATGGCAGTGTCTCCGTTGTCATGTAAACTTGCAATATGCAGTACCTCTGAAAACGGAGACTTTTCACACATGCGCATTACGGTTCCAGTCACTAGGCATGCGCAAGAAAGTCGACCGTCACAACAACAATGCCGAGCTCTGTTTGTGCTGCTCACCCTGTTGATTTGAAGTGAAGTGTAGATCTGTTACTGTAGCAATTCCACCTCGTCGTCCATCCAGACAAAGTTATCTGTGCATGCTTTCTCCATTGTCTCATCTTTGTTTTGGTTTGTAATCACTGCGTTGTAGAGGAAGGCACTTCAGCGCAGGCGCATGGCGTCATGCCGTGGTGTTGCTTTGCAAATTTACACTTAGGGCTGGGCGGTATGACCTAAAATTTATATCACGGTATAAATCGAATCCCTTCACGGTAACGGTATATATCGCGGTATAAATTTAAGTGTAAAAGTTATAATAGAAGTGTTTCTGAATGGGTTTTGTAGTCCCTTAGCAAAGCTAAATTGATAAAAAAAAAAAAAAAACAACAAAAGCAAAGATATAATGTATTTTTTAGAGCATTTATTGTGCAGAATGCAGATCTATATCAAAAGGTAATTTCCTTCTTTTAGCAAAATCCTAAATGACTGAGTTGTGTTTTTTCCACCTGGACCTTTATGCTCTGCCATTTCTCCTCTAATCATCACGCTGTAACCTGTGACAGGCTGCTATGATACCACAACTATCACACATTCACATATGGCGTTTTTGGTGGAGCCCCTAGCGTCACATAGGTTTACATTACCAAAGGTTTATGACAAACTCTCTTGCCGAAAACCAACTCCCGTGTGCGCACGGCGAGAGAGGAGAGGGAGAGACGCTGTGCTGCTGCCAGAGGAGACACTGAATGAGTTCCCTCTGAGCGGTAAGTCGCTAAAAGAGTCTGAGAAGTCCGGGGCTGTTCATAAAACATTAACTCACTCACTCACAAGTTCTCCAGCAACACATGTTGCACGTGCTACGCTAAATCACGGACGTGAACCAGTTCCTCTTGCTCCGCTGTCTCTGTGCTCGCAGCCATTTTCACACTGAGGCAGGTGCGATGACGTCATCGACGATAGGATGGTAGAGCGCAAATCTCTACCGTGGGCCAAATTTATATCATTTCTACCGTCTACCGCATATACTGCGCAGCCCTATTTACACTGTCATCCATTGGCCTGGCGTGCATACTACAGCGTTTCCAGTAGATTTTGCGGCTCTGTGTGAACAGGGATCGTTTCAATAACATCGTCATATAAACGCAGA